GGCGGGTGCCCGGGACGGGGGCGGGGGAGGCTCCGGCCAGGCGCAGCTGGTTCTGCAGCGAGAAGTCGATGTTGTACCACTCCGACGTCCGATCCACCGGCTTCGGGGGCATCACCAGGTTGGGGTTCTCGCGCACGTCCAGGATCTGCCAAAGAGGGGACGGGAGACCTCAGTGCTCCGAAGCACGGGCTCATGGGGACACTGGGGACATGGGGTGGGACAGGAGACCTCCAGACTACCCTGGGCTGAATCCAGCACCCGCTTGGGTTGAACTGTGTGCCAGACTGCCTGTATCCCGAGACCCCCTGTGCCCACCTTACCCCATACCACCCTCCAGCCCTGGGAGCCCAGGGACACGCTGGGGCTGCGGGTGACCCAGTCTGAGGCGGAGGGGGTGCTGGGCTGTCACCTCCATGTCCGTGAGGAAGTGGATGGCCTCTGGCAGTGTCACCAGGCGGTTCTTGTTCAGCACCAGCTTCCTCAGCTTGGAGCACCTGCAGGGGACAGAGGTGCTGGTGAAGGGCCCGGCCACGGGCACGTCCTTCAGGGACACTCAGAGACCCCATAACACCACACAGCCTCCCTGTCCCCTCTTGGGGACAGCGCAGATCTGGCTGTGGGCTGTCCCCTACCTGCACAGGCTCTCGGGGATGAGCTCCAGGTTGTTGTTGGCCGCCATGAACTCCTCGAGGTTGGTGAGCTTGCCGATGCCCGAGGGGATCCCGTCAAAGTCCAGCTTGTTGGAGTTCAGGTACATCTTCTTCAGCTTGGTCAGCTTGCAGATGGCCGACTGGGGAAGGAGGAGATGGTGGGTGGGGGAGAGCTCAGGATGGGGACATCGTGTATGGATGGGGACATCACGTACAGACGGGGACAGTACGTATGGACGGGGACAGTACGTACGGATGGGGACATCATGTATGGACAGGTACAGTACGTACGGATGGGGACAGTACATACGGACGGGGACAGTAGGTATGGACGGGGACAGTACGCACCGGCAGGGAGGTGAGCTGGTTGCGGGAGAGGTTGAGGGTCTCCAGCTGGGTCCACTGGTCGATGCAGAGGGACAGCTCGGTGATCTGGTTGCTGCTGAGGTTGAGGCGCCGCAGGCTGCCCAGCGTGTAGAGGCACTCGGGGACACGGCAGAGGTCGTTGCAGGACAGGTCAACATCTGGGGGAAGCCAACGGGGTGATGCTATGGGTCAGACCCACGCCAGCGCCCAGAGAGCCCCTGCACGGCCCCGTGGGGCTGGGCGCCCCAGCCCTACCTGCCAGGTTGGCCAGGCCCTCCAGGCTGGTGGGCAGGTTGCTCTGCGTGCGCTGGGTGTTCCGGAGGTGGAGGGTCTGCAGGGCCGTCATGGCCGGGAGCTGCCTGAGGGCCACGGAGAACCGCAGGGCAGAGACAGGATCAGGGATGGAGCTGGGACCAGCCCTGGCATCGTGGGGTCCAGCTGGGAAAATGGGGTCTTACCGGAGCTGGGCGTGCAGGAGGGGGTTGTTATTGAGGATGAGGGTCTGGAGGTGGACCAGGCGTCTCATCTGCGGTGGGAGGCTCTCCAGCTTGTTGTCGCTCAGGTCGAGGTAGAGCAGGTCCGTCAGGTTGATGAAGAGCTGGTTGGGGATGGTGTCGATGCTGTGGGGATATGGGGACCGTCAGGGACCTTCACCAGCCCGGGGTTCCTCCCCAGAGAGGGGGACCCAGAGCGAAGTGGGGTGACCCAGCCCCACCTGTTGTGGCCGAGGTTGAGGACCAGCATGTTCTTGGCGTTCTCCAGTTCCCGGGGACACTCCGTCAGTTGGTTGTAGCTCAGGTCCTGGAGCAAAAGGGAAAGAAAAGTAGGGATCACCCTCTGCCCCACATCCAGCAGCCACCACCCAGCCCCGAGGGGCATCTCTGGGGGCACAGCCTGACCCCCCACACCGGGCCCTGTCCTGCGGGGAGCCCAGCTGCAGGGTGACATTGCTGCGGGGTTATCCTGCCTGTAACCAGCTTCCTTGGTGCTCAGACGTGGGTTCAGAAGGGCTGGTGATGAAATTGTACAGGGGCTGTGGGGAAGCTAATTGTGGCCTGGGCACCCAAAAGCTGAAGGGAGCTGGGCAGCGCTGAGCCCTGATTTACCCTCTGGACACTCCTCAGCCCCCTCAAGGGACACGAGGGGCCAGACAGGTGCAGGAGTGGGACCCAGGGGTCTGCGCTGGCTCTGGCACTAACCGAGGAGTCTCTGCACCTACCAGCACCGAGAGGTCCTCCAGCTGGAAGATATCATCAGGAACTCCTGAATTCTTCAGGCTGTTTGCACGAGCCACGATCGCCTTGAAAGGGGAGAGAGAGGCATGACTGCAGCCACCCACTGGGTCTGCGCCTGCTGAGCCCCCCCCGGGGGGACAGGGACGATCCCTGGGTGTCCCCAGAGCCAGGGGCTCGCTGAGAGGTCCCTGCTGAGCCCCCCGGGGGGGACAGGGACGACCCCTGGGTGTCCCCAGAGCCAGGGGCTGGCTGAGAGGTCCCTGCTGAGCCCCCTGGGGGGGACAGGGACGATCCCTGGGTGTCCCCAGAGCCAGGGGCTCACTGAGAGGTCCCCGCGGACACCAAGCCCTGATGTAGGGGGGATGTGTGCTGGGATGACACTTACCCGGAGGCAGGGCAGGCCGGAGAGCTCGCCGTGGAGCGTGGTGAGGCTGTTGTGGCTCACGGAGAGGTGTTCCTGCGGGGAGGACCCAGACAAGCCCCAGTAAGCAGAGAGAGGAGCCAGGGCTGTGGTCGGGGGCTCCTCGGTCCCAGGAGAGTGGGGGGCTCACAGAGGTGTGGGGTGAGCTCAGCCCCAACCCACATGAGGATGCTGGGATGCCCCCAGTCTCAAACTGGTTGCTTGGCCCCAGCGTGCCCATGCTGCCTCGGCACTCCTCGTTCCTCGGGGCAGACCTGCCTGAGACACCCCAGCCCTGCTGCAGGGTTTGGGGTGCCCTGGGCTGCTCCCCAGCTGGCTTGGGGCAGCCCCATACAGTCCCCAAGCACAGACCCCAGTCCTTGGAAATGCTTCGTGCTGGGTGATCTGGGGGGACTGGTGAGGCTGGAGGAGGAGAAATTTTTGTTTTCCTCTGGGCACCACCAGCCTGGCTGTCACCTGCTCAGGAAAATGAGGAATTGGCAGCCTGGGGGTAAGACGTCAGGTTTTTGGTCCAGCTGTGGCCCCCCCAGCATCTGGCAGGAGCTCCGAGCAGCACGGAGGGCTTCCCCGCTTTCTGTGCCCCAGCAGGGCGCAGCCGGCACGGTGACAAGGGCTTTTGGCAGCATTTAAATCATCGTGGCTGGCGGACACAGATTCAGCAACGTCCCTAATCTGCTGCAGGACACCGCCAAAGCAAAGCTCAGCCACGGGCTCCACCAAGGGTTGTGCACAAAAGTCGAGCCGCCCAAAAAACAAAGCCAGGCAGCTGCCGGCTACTGCTCTTTGTATCTTTTAGCAAAGAAGGAGGGGAAAAAAAAGCCCCAAAACCTTAATTCTCCCTATTCTAAACCTTCACCCTTCCCTTCTATTAAAGGGAAGAGGATCTAAGCATGGTTTTTAGTCTGGTTTTCTAGGAAAACAAGGTGAAACCAAGTACAAGTCTGCCTCAACCC